TCTTTGCAAAATACGCCAGTTGTTTCAATGGGCCCTTACGTGGAGCGCTGTTAATTGCCAGATAACGTGTTAGAATGTCTTCGATCGTGCTTGGAGACGGGAACGGGAGCTCGCAGTGGAGATCTTCAGCCACAGGCTTGAGAGCCACCCATTGGTCCAAATCCAAGTCCAGACGAGTCGCTAGACTCTCGACGACTCTCGTCTCATTCTCAGGCAGGACAGCAAGGTTATCGGCCGTCTCGTAGGTCACTCCAGTGCCTCGAAGATCCAGTTCCACATGCACCGTGGAGCCTCCCGCAGTCGACAGACGCAGCTCTCGGTTCACCACAACTTTCGCCTGGTTGGCCGTGAAGAAATGCTTGGTCGACGCCTTCATTTTGACCTCTTTGGGCGCATTTTCCACTTGTTTCTTGCGGATTTCCACCAGTTCGTACTCGTACTCAGGAGGCGTCAGCTTGTGCTCGTCCTGCTTCACTTCGGTATCTTCCTCACTGTTTCCCGCGATAAACTGCTTCCTCAGAGCTCTCCACAGTGGCTCCTTCCAGTCGTCAAAGTCTTCGTCCAAACTGGCGTCATCATCGCCCTCTCCATAGTGGAACACTCTCTCGGCTCCATACTTTTCCATAAACCTATCAGTCATGCGTCCCATCTCGTTATAGTGCTCGTACTGGGTGTTACCGAGGCCAAAGACAGTAAAGTGGACGCTGTCGAACGTCTTCGGCTCCAGATTTCCCGCTTTATCCTTAAGGAAATCGATAAAATCCACGGCATTGTCAGTCGGATCACCTTCACCATATGTAGCCATGATGAAGATGACCAGCTTCTCGTCTTTCAGCTTGGAGGCCGCGTCGTAGTCCTCCAGATCGATAGCGTGGGTCTGGAAGCCAGCTTTACGTCCCTCTGCCTTCAGGACCTCAGCGAAGCCCTCGGCAGTGCCAGTTTGAGAGCCGAATAAGATGGCTACACGACCGCCAGGGTAGGCGGGACTCTCCTCGACGCTGGGTTGTTGGACGGAAGGCGCGGGCTCGGCCGCTTCCTTGTACATTTTCATCTGCTGGCCGATACGCAGCATCTCCTCGGCCAGTTTGTCCTTCTTAGGCTTAGGCTCCCGCAGGAACAGCACGGCGGTGGCCAGCATGGCCAGCAAGGAGCCTACGACCACGTACGAGTCTGTCATGTTGCCACTTTGGTGAATTGGGGAATGACGCAGTTTGCGAGTTTGGGTACAGAAAAGTGGGACCCAGGTTTGGTGGTGGAGAAACCACTGGTACAGTCAAAGGTACATGTCGACAGACGAGGGACGAGTGAGTTGACTCGTTAGAGCTACAATGAAGAGGTGCTGAAAGAGGCGAAGACAGAGGTGGAGAATTGGACGTGGTTAAACTGGCTAGCGTGTAGATTCGAAGATGCTTCGATAGCTACAATATAGTAATATTATAAACTTTCTCGAAGTATTACGCATTAAGTTTGCGCTGCAGCCGATATTCCTCGAGGTGAAGGGACTTCTTTAGTTAGCTTAGATTGGTTGCTTACGGCTGACAATGCCAAAGTCACTCACATCTGTTGATGGCCTCCACACGAGTGTGGCACGCTTGGTCTGAGTTTATTTTCGCTTCAGCTTCTTGTCCGGTGGTAGCAGTCAACATTGATACACGTGATATACTGTAGTACTGTACATGTTTGTTCTTGAAGCAAACGAAATCTGGCACTGCGTACGGCAAAAACCTGCCGTCTTTACTAAAATACCGATGAAGAATTCCTTACATATCAAGACCGTGCATGTAAAATAACCCGGATACGATCACGTACTGACCTGGTGAGTAAGGTCACCGTAATCACAACTGCCAGCGAATCTCAAACGAAAATGATACAGTTTAAGCACTTCGAGATTCGCACCCAGGTGCCAAGAAGAACCGCCATGGTCTCTTTATGGTTTGCACTCTTAACACTTGCCATAATTGCAGTTGGGTGCGCTGCCCTAACAAATAAGGAGGCTACGGACCCGAAAAATACCTTCATGGAGTCGACGTCTGTCAACACGGGCCATGGAAACGGGGGCAGTGCGAGCAGAAAGAGGCTTCTGAGGAGAAACGGCGATGAGTTTCTGGAAGATTTTGGCACTGAGGAGGACGATTCATCCGAAGCGGCGGACAACGTGACTAAATAGGAGATGGCCCGACATGAACGAGATCTTAAGCTGGTGTTGGTGACCGAGTAAGTTAGACCTAAGTTCTTTCATAGCTCATGTAGTGTGTATGAAGCACTTTTACAAACCTTGACTTCCGACTCTCTCTCTCTCTCTTCATTTGGGTACACGAAAATTTCCGCTGATACCAATCAAGCAGTGCGTACAACTGTACTGGGCACCGCGTGACCTCCATCAAGAAGTAAATTGTGACTGGTGATGTCGGTTTGAGGTTGCGAGAGCTGCCTAGTGGTAGATGAATTCAGCAAATAAATGCAGCTGAAGGGTGTGGAGGGCAATATCATCAAATAAACGCTGCTTTCGTTACGTTACGGTGGCAATTACTTATCTGCAGACCATCCTTCCAGGATGCGAAGCCTGACACGACATGATCATCATATCCATAGTTTTGCGCTGAAGGTTCGCTTAAGCGCAATCTGATGGTGCGTCACAGGTCTGAATTTCCTCTACAATGGCGCTGAGGAGCATCTAAAAGGGTGTGAGGTGACGTTTACCTATATCATTTATAGGTTTGGCTGTCATATCGCTTGTGCGGTGCTTCGAAAGGGAAATAATGTCCAACCCAGCAATGTAGTTATTACTAAAAACTTGCTATCATCCAAGAGAAACCTTTGTTACCAAAGCCGTTGTTTTAGTCTCTACAGATATCGAGCTCTGATGATCTGTTACACCGTTTGGCTATCATCACACAATAACAAAAACGATGAGCTCTTATTATTACAGCTACTGTGTACTTGAAGTAGAAAACAGATCTCAACAAGGCTGGCTAGGACACGAATAATTGGATTTATCCTTGCGTCGATTTATGAACGGCACTTGAGCCTTGTAAATGACAGAGCTCCTCGTCAGGTTTCCGCTTTGACTGAACACACCCTTGGACAGATAGTATCTATGGTACTTTTCCCAGGATGTCTAGCTCGATTCTTGACACAAATGCGGCTTGACACTTTCAACGGGGTATGCCCTCTTGGAAAGGGCGACCTTGTGGGTCTCACAGTAATCTGTTTTTTGGTAAGTTTCAAATCTGCACACTGTACATTTTCGCTTTGTGCGACCTCTGCCATTCAAGACAATCCAGGATTCATTGGCAACACATAAGAAACCCACACTGTCACCCGAAGGATCTTTACTGACTTCACGAACAGTCTCCGTACCAGCCACCTGCGCTGGGTTCTGGTCTGCGTACACAATTCCGTTGTCATTATTTTCCCATTTCCCCCACGTCCCGAAAACAAAACGATCCCCAATAAGCTCCGCAACAAACGAGCGATGCAGATCACGTATACGAAGCTCAGATGAGGAGCAATCAAGCTGTGCATTGTCACTCACAACTTGACCTTGGGCAAAGGTTGTGGCATATATAGGCATTACACCGCGCATATCTATCATTGTCGTCGCGATCTTCTTGTGCCATTTTTTTTAAGGATTGTCCACTAGCAATTGCAAATTGGCTGCGTGATTGATCATGACGATCCACACCCTGCATGACAGTATTGTACTCACGAACGCAAGCTGGGGCTTCACGTGGTACCAGCTCCTGTTTGATTCTCCGAAAAACCGTATTCGTTCCAGAGCCATCCGCATTGGAAACTACATTACAATTGATCCGTCCAACCAGCGGCTATTAAGTTTTTTTTTCGTACAAACGCCTTGCTATGCCCCTCCCCGCTCTTTGTCCACCGTCGGGTTCAACATGGTAAAGTGTGGGAAGTGCTTGCTAGACGATCTGACGGTACCTCGTCCATACAGCCCGACTGACCGTAAGCTCTCAAGTAGAAGGCAGGAGGTATAGAAGTTATCGGTATTCACAAAACGATGTGTAACTTCCAGTACATGGCGTCGAACTTCAGATACATGATACTAAAACATATCAACTTTTGTATTGAAACCCTATACTCGAATATACAAGTTTATTAGGCTGATGAGGGCGCAGAGAGAGTCTCGCGCTCAAGAGGTTAGGCTGTAAGCTATGAATTAAAAATTGAACTAGGTCGTAACTTACGACTTCGGTAACAGGGTTAATGAATCAAGCACCTTCCACCGTATTTATGTCGTGAATTGGCGTGACATAATACTGCTACAGCTACAAATAATTGCTCTTGACCAGAATCTTTTTATAAGGTTCTCGTTCTGACTGAATCAACTTTTGCTAAAAAAAATACTTTTTTATCCTAAATCTTTATGCACTTTGCGCGGTTAAGTTAACATCACAGAGATCCATTACTTGACCACTATTCCAACTCGACGCCAAGTTCTGAGCATAATATCGTCTGAGAACTGTGACCATCCGGACCTACTGTCCGGGAGCCTCAATAACAGTCGACAGCGTCCTTCCGAGATGAAATGGTGGGGCTTTGCGTGTAAAATGGTGCTTTCGCTTAGGAAATTGTTGTGGGGATTAAAAATCCAGACTTATCAACGGTCATATTATAAATTTATGTGTAGCAAAGAGAAACAGCTTTTAAGAAACTGTCATTACCTGGCGCTTTCGACGATTTTCGATAGCGCATAATTATTATTTGTGCTCTACTAGTTGCCTTCGTATAATCTACAAGCTCGTCAACAGCGTAGATGGTGTGCTTGTCTACTTGCACTCTGGCGCTTAGTCCGTCATAGGAAGAGGTTCCGACCGCCTGGGCCATTTAGAAGGGGACCCATTCGGCGGATGGTGATCACTTGACGTCTGTCCGACCGAATAACATACAGTGTAGCGATTCCTTGGTTCGGTTGGTTCGGTTGGTTTTGTGGAAACCGTGCTGCCGCCGCTTGCAGAAAGTCGCCCTGTAAGGAAGGTCAGACGTCGGGTTACCTCGAGATGCGTATATTGTCGACTTACTGCAGAATTATGTTGTCCGTCCACCTACCTGAGGTTGTAGCATAGGTCGTGTGTAAAAGTCGTCATGATGATGTTTGGCGGCTGCGCTGACATCCAGTGAGGAGGGACATTATTGGCGACATCCAGATGGCTGGCGGCATCAACAGAAAGTCGCAATATGTTGAGATGCCACATAATTAATAGAATAGGATCGACGGGACGTGCTCTCTACTATCATAACAGCATTATTGATCATAAAATAATTCAGACCGTAGCCGGGCAGTACATACCGCCGCAATGCCGACCTGAGGTGAAGGAGCATCGGCTACCGTGGTAGCAGTCCGGGACAGGCGCCTGCTACGGAGCTCACAATGATGAGATCGCGGCGGAGTTGCGGAACGCTTTCGTGCTGGTTCAATTTAGAAAATAATGAGAAAGTCGAAGAAAACCAAACAATTCTGCCTTACCCATGCTTAGATTTGCGCTCGGCGTTGCTGATTCAGGAATGAACGCCTGCACTCGAAGACGGAGTAGCACTTTCTCAATCTGATAAAAGAAAAGAGACCGATATTCTCCATTCCTTCAGATTCCCCATGCAAGCGGACAATGGATTTTGGAAAGAGACGAACCTTTGAAATGACGTAATGACTGGGTCAGCTCGTCACACAGGGAAGAGGACGCCAGCAGAGCCGAAGAGAGCTCTGAGCCTTCATTGAACAGCTTGATGAACAGCTTCCGGGAAACCAACTGCACCTCCGCTGCCAGCACCGCAGCTTCCGCGGCACCTGTGGTGTAGTAGAACACACAAATACCGTCAGATGTGGATTCCTTAAACAAACCACAACAAATCGCCGAGTTAGGTCGGCGGTTGTATGGCCTGCGCCGAGGGTGGTCCCCTCGCAGTTCGGCCCTTCCGGGACAGACGCGTGGCTCGCTTCCACTCGGTTCCGACTAACCAAGTCAGAGCACTTCCGAGGCATCGCCGAGCTTGGTTCGGCTGAGCTCGTTCACAAACCCTGTGCTCTTCACCAAAGGATGGACGACGGCGCGCGAGCGCTTTTACAGGTCACCGAGCGCAGAGGCTACTCAGCTAGAAGTGTTACGGCACCCGGGCTATCCGACGTACCGGCCCGCTGAGTGTGCGGGGCTTTCTTTCGCGCGTTTTCTCCGGAGCTCTGGATGCTTGGCACCGGGAGCAAAAGCGCCGTTTATGCCGCTCAGAACGGCTGCGGATTTGTATTCGGCGCGTTTATGAGCGACGAAGATCCCGGCGCCGTCTTAGAGTCCTATCGGCAAGCCTTTGCTGCTTCGGGTCAGAGGACT